GCTCGGCCAGCCGCAGGGCCGAGGCACTGAAGAAGCTTCTGGAAGTCTTTGGCATGGAAGACCCTCCACCCCCCCCAGCTCACTTCAAGCAGCCTCCCCAGTATATGGTGGATCTATTCAACAGCGTCGCCAACGCGGATGGGGTGACCAAGAACCCTGACATCCTGGAGGGCAACACGGTCCGCAGCTTCCTGGATAAGAGTAAGGGCAGGGAGTCCCCACGGGGCTGGGATGGGGCCGTGGGTCGGGGCTGAGTGTGGCCAGGGGAGGTGCCACCCCTGGTTTTGCTGCTCTTCTCAGCCTGTCCTTCCCTGCAGCTCACAGCGAGGAGCTGCGGTTCCTGTTTGTCCTCTCCAGCGTGGCCAAGAACGAGAAGATCCTGACGGCAGAGCTGCACCTCTTCCGCCTCTGGCCGAGGGTCACGGATGGGCCCAAAAGGCACCACTTCTGCCAGGTGAGGAGGGGAACAGGCTGGGGCTGGGGTGGGATGGGGATGGGAACAGGGATGGCTCCCAGCCCATGCCCGGGGGTGTAGCTGGCATGCTGCAGTCACTCACCTGCAGAAGGAGCACAGCCTGGCTTGGCATCAGATGGCCAAATGTTTCAGAGGATCACGATGGTTTAACTTCTTCTGGTTTGTGCACACACCAGCCAAGCACCCACAGGCTGTGACAGATCCACGCTGACACCTCCCCATCTCCCCCAGCACTTCTGTCTGGGGTCATTCCCTCGGGCAGGACATGCTGGGGGGTGACCACCCTTTGCCTTCCCCAGATCAGTGTCTACCAAGTGCTGGAGAAGGACAAGGCAGAGACCCCTGGAGGGAAGAAGCTGCTGGCAGCTCGACTTGTCTCGCTGCAGACCTCGGGCTGGGAGGTCTTTGCCATCACACCAGCTGTGAGTTTCTGTTCCCTGGTTTGGGTGGCACACAGGAGGTTTACCTGCAGGAGCTTTCATAACCCATTTCACCCCCAGGAGCCTTTTGGGCTCCAGTGCAGTGACATGGGGGGATGGAGCCTCTGGGAGGGGAGGCAAGAGCTCTGCCACGAGCCCTGGGGGCTGTGCCATCCTGCCCCAAACTGGTCCTGCTAGCTCCTGCTGCAGTGTCCTCTGTGCTGCAGCCCTGGAGCAGCCTCTTCCCGTGGCTGGGAGATGGAGTGTGGCCTCAGGGGTCCCCGTCATGCCACCAGCAGTGTCCCTGCCTGCAGTCCTGCGGTGACACTGCTTTGACTTCTCAGGTTCGCGACTGGACTGAAGATGAAAGCAGCAACCAGGGCCTGCTGGTGACAGTGCAGGGGCTGGGGGGGAGAACTCTCGATCCCCCCCCCTTACTTGTT